GCTCCGATTGGCGCGGACGCACAGCGGCGAATGGTCACCGTCTTTAGCCACGGGCCACGATGATGATACGCATCTCATGAGTGGACACCTGGGCGATCTGAGGCTAAAACATCCTTCAAACCGTAAAAATCCGCATCCAGATCTGTGAACTATCCAGTCCATTGAACCTAATCACATACAGGACATAAAATGACGCATTATGGTGTGTTCTAGAATCTTACTTGTAGTTCTGTACCCTCATTGGACTTGCGTATTGCAAGAGTTTGGTTCGAGCTGACAGCTGACCAATCCGTGGATGTCCTGGTCTTATCAACATGAGTACGTTCGACCGGCGCACCAGTCTCGGACTTCGCCACGGGCACTGCGCTGATCGCCGATCTGCGTCACGAACTGTCACGAGGTGCGTCACGGACAGTCACGAGGTGCGTCACGGTACTGGTGCGGACCGGCCTAGTCCGGTCCGGTCCAGTCCGACGGTCCTAAGCCCGTGGTCCGAGCCGGTGGTCTTGGTTGCTCGGGACCAGCCGTGACCTGTGAGCCGCGCATGACGCCCTGAGTGAGTGGTGACCCGCCGCCGGCCGCTGCACCAGCGCGTGCAGAGAGATGGAGCGGCCCTGTCAGGTGTGCTTACTCCCGGCCGCGGAAGGGGAATGGTGGGGAGACCGGGACCTCACAGAGCGACCAACATTTGCCATGATGCTAATGGCCGACGGCTGCGATTGTCACCGTCACTGTCATTCTCAGACCGATGTCTGACCTCTGACCGACGCCACGGGGTGCCGGACCTTTTCCTATTCGAGACATCGCCGGGAAATGGCGCCCGCCGCGCCGGCCGCACCTCTCTGGCCGGTTTCCTTGTATGTGTACGTGGCCCTGCCACCGAACAGACGACGTGGCCCATGCTGATTGGAGCCGCCCAGCGCGTCGTGGCGGTGATACGCCACTTGCCAGTGAATAATACAACGCACCGGTTAAAGTCGGCTGGTTTCCTGGAAGGGATAACACCGGTGCGGGATTTAACAGTGAAGTAAGCGCGATAACAAAAGCGCCGGCGTATGCATTGTGCTGAGTTTGAAGTCTGTGTCTTCGTTATTTGATGTGACTGCTCTGTCGTGTGTGTAGTGACACTTGTTCGTAGTTGTTCACCCTCCTCGACACTTGTGTTACTGGTCTAAACTGAGATTATTCAGATAAAAGATTAGCATTAGTATGAGGTTAAGTAGATAGGTCCTTGCAATACGTTTTAGAACATGTGAGTGGGAAATCTACATTTAGAAGGCCTTCGAAACCTGTATTCCGAAACATGACTATTCTGTAGTGATGTTCGGAGGTTCTTTGGCGACTTTTCATATTAATTTTCGGACCATGCCTTGTAAAAGGAATACTGAATGAATTGAAAATTTCGAAGCCGACTCTGCCTCTGCTCACTTGCATGGTAATGTAGTCCGTTCTTCGTAGCCGTTTCCGCCTATAAGCGAACTACACACCCTCTGATACCCTATCGTCGTCGACATATTGTCGCGTTGTGGCACTGGCGTCCCCGCAATGGTCCGTGCGGTATCACCGGCTGCAGTGTCGGGACAGCAACCTAACCTGGCAGCGGCATCCGTGTCTTGCTGGTGCTAGGCGGCTGTTTGCGTGTTAACCCGCAGCCGGTCCTGTTCCACTTTCCAGAATCAGAAAGAGATTACATAATAGCTGGCAAAACCGGACCGATTTCCAGGCATTGTTTCTTTTTACCTGCGATGGACCTTAGAGATAGCCCCAACATATTATTGAGCTGCCGAGGTCTGCAGGAGTGGCTCGCCCTGGAAGGCGGACGTTGTCCCAACCTTGGTCACCCGGCGCACACGCCTCCGCGGTCCAGCGCCCTTCCTCATGCCAGCGCTGGAAACTGACGCCGATTTCCGTAGCATCGTCACTGATGCCTCTTGAAACTGACAATGCGATGCGCTCAACGCAGGTTTTTCTGCGTTGCGTTCTCGGCCGGACTGGCGTTCCGCCGGGGTCACGGGGCTGTGGTGGGGTCCGAGTGGGGTCGGCCGGCCCCAGCGGTATGCGCGGGTCACTGAGTACGCTCAGGTGACCGCCGACACTGCTCCGATCCGCTCACAACACCACACTGCTGCTGACGAGACCATGTTGGAGGTGCGCAGCGCACGGTCAGACAAACAGCGGGGTGGGGTCAGCGGCTGAGCGGCGCGGCGCGAGCTGCAGGTCACTGATCCCCGCGGCCAAACGGGGAGATCGCTGGGAGAAGCTAGGGACGAATGTGAACTGGGTCGTCCGGGGCGATGAAGTACATATGTATGCTACCTGGCGAAGGATATAATTTGTATGCGGTTGTCTCCAGTAGTGGTAAACCCGGTCCGCGATGGCAATGATCAGCACAGTTGCATCACTCCTGCCGGGTAGTCATATTCGCGCCTGGCCGTCGGACTGATGCTTCGTCAGTTCAGCGGTGGTGCCCGGTCAGCATGACGGTGTTCTCTGCAGCGGGGACCGGTCGGCGGCGCGTAGCGCGGCCGGTCAGCACCGAGGGTCAGCTCTGCTGTCGGCAGTGGCACGGCCGGTCAGCAGCGAGGGTCAGCTCTGCTGTCGGCACGGTCAGCGGGCACCCGGCTGAGCCGGCAGTGCGTGCCCTCCGGCCGGCGCTGGGGCGCGGCGCCGCCGGCTCCAGTGGCGCCGCGCCGTCAGCACGCCGTGTCAGATCGTCTGCGCCGCGGCGGTCGCCACTTCGGCCGGCGACCTCTTGAGCTGTGCTGCCGCCGTGCCGCCCATCATCTCGGTAGGTCACGGCACGCCCGGCCGGCATTCTCAGCGACTCGGCGGCGCGTGAGTGTCCTCGGCGTGCGCTCTCGGTCTTTGGAGACCGCGCTCCGGCGTCTGTCGTGACCGGCCCGAAGGAAACTCGGTCCTCTGGCCCCGACCGCGGCCTTTGAGCGCCCACCTGCCATCCGGGATGGCGCCGGCATGTCGCTGCCGGCGAGGTGACGTCACGCATAAATGACGTCACACACCTATCCGGGTGGGGATGACTGGAAGCGGTCTGCGGCTTTTCGTGAAGTCGTGCGCTCCACAAGGCGTTTTGCCTGTCATTTACGTTACTTGCTCTTTTTGAGTTATTGTGGAGCTAAAAGGCAACTGTCAGTTTCTTTGGATTAATATTGTGGAGATTTATGTCACCATGACTGTCAAAATGTCTCCGCGCAGTTTGTTGACGCGTAGTTTAAATACAAAAAAAGGCTGTCGGCCCCCCAGTGTGGGAAGGTAGCTCTTATTTTGTCATTAATATGATGTGAACACCGGCCATGTTATAGCATCCTGATCCTACGTTGTATGCTTCTTTTTCCCTGAGGCAATCATTGTACCATTATTTATGACGATATCTGTCCATGAAATATTTTTAAGGTGCCTACATACCTATAGGTATGCGCATTAGCTCTAAGTGGTAGCCAGTTTCCTACTAGAACGGCGCCCGTTGTAAAAGTCACAGTGTTGTAAAATTGGTTCAGGGTCCGAAGCTCCCTCTTACAAGCGCAGTTAAGTGCTGACATCCAACGACAAACCGTAGTTACATAATTAATTATTCAATTACGTACTTGGTTGCGCAGGATTCGCTACTGCGCTTCTGGTCCTGGGTTTTTGGCTCCTGCCTTTGATGTTAGACTTGACGAACTGACACGAATGTTTTATATTTATTGTTTAATTGCATATGTGCTTAGGAAGTGAGGCCTGCAACAGTACCAATGAATCAATTGTGCCATTGACCAGCCTGCATTTTTCCTAAAGACATGATAACTAAAAATTTGGTCTAGTGGATCGCAGGATGCAAGGAAGCGCTGGTCTTTGAAGAAATGATTTGGATGCGAGAGTGATCCATGCCTCTGCTTCTACTGGGGTCTCCCAAGACAGAGGCCTTATGCAGCTAGTTGAATTCAACGTTCCTGCTGGGATTTAAACCTTACAATCAACGCCAACTATGTATTTGCAGTCTTGTACTCCAAAAATTCGCTATTTTAGTTCCTCGTTTCCCAACTTCTATGCCTGCTTTAACTGCTGGCCTGCTATATGAAAACTTCCTTCGTTCATTCGCCTTTAAACCGGTTAAATGCCGCCAACGTGTATCGCTGCAATACAAAACCGATCAGCAGATAGGTGTTCTGCAGTCGCTGACCGTTATCAGCCCCGGCGGAGGGCCGCTCGGTGACCGGCTGTGGTTGCAGGCCCGGGTCTCACCGGGGCATCACCCTGTGTTTGTCCAGCGACCGCACCTCGGGGGGCAACGTACCGTGGAGGTCGGATGTACGAGCCGGCCGTGAGGGTGTGGCTCTGTTTGACAGTGTGTCACGGTGTGTCAGTGTGACGGACTGGCGTCGGAAGTGACGGTCTGGTCTTTGTAGAGTCGGTAATATGAGTGTGTCAGAAGGGAGTCAGGCCGTAACCGAGTCTGCAGTCTTGTCTTGGTGTGTCCGAGTGTGCAGTATTGGTTTGTCAGAGTCTGCAGTCTGGTCGTGACAGTCTGCTGGCTGAGGAGTGAGTGTTTCAGACGGAAGTCTGACCGTGTTCGAGTCTGCGGTCTGGTCTTGCAGAAGCTGCGGTCTGGTTTTGTCAGAATCCGCAGCCTCAGTTTTCAGATTTTGCAGTCTGGTCGTGTTTGAGCTCATAGTGGATGATGATATTTAGTAAATGTCGATGGTCCTGGGAAGGAATGATGGCTTCTGTGATGATCCTGTCTTTCAATGTTGCCAGTCAACAGCAGGGTTTGGAATGAAATAGTAAAAGGCGCACTGAGCTGAGTATGGGTGTTGTGTCACCATTCCTTCGCTGTCGTCTCGTCACTGTCGATTAACACTCGCCAGTCACACTAGGGTGATCCCCGTGCCGCTCGCACCGGTCCCCGTTGTTCCCGTTTGTTTCCGCCCATGTGATGTGATGTGATTCTATGCGTAATGACTCCGTGTCTGCCTCTAACCGCACCGTGCTCTCTCCGTCCGCAGGGAGTTTCCGTCGCTGCGCGCGAACGGGTTCGCCGAGCAGCAGGCCCTGTTGCGAGTCTGGTACAACACGTGGTCGCCGGCCGAGCGACTCGTCACACTGTGCGCCATGCTGGAACAGCTGGCTGACACCCAGGTTAGTGGCGTGGCACCGATTGGTCTCAGCAGAGAGGGGAAGATGAATGAGACGAGAGAGAGAGAGCAGGGGACATGGCGGGGAGAGGGAGGAACACGGCTGGGAGAGGGCTGAGAACACGACTGATTGCGGTAAGCCAGCGGATGATATGAGGATCCGGTGCACTGCGGGTGAAGTATCACACCACCTTACTTTCGTACTACCTAGGTATGCAGTGATGGCCTTGCAGATGTGCACGTAGCTTGGCCTTTCTGCCGTGGTGGGCCTTGCTTACATTTCCTTGGTCCTGCAGTCCGGCTATAGCGGTTCCACAGCTATGTTCCCGCAGACCTGTGTTGAGCCTTACGACGCTCCCTGGCCTGATCTGGCGTGTCCGCGCCCGTATCCATTGGTCCTGTGCTGTCCGTGCAGCCGCCCGTGCCGTCCCGGCCTGTACTCAGAGCTCCAGGGTGTGCCAGACGTCTGTATATACGATCGACGACCATCGTTTGCGCAACTGGTGGGCTTGTCAGCGGCCATGGGGGGCAACGAATCTGGTTCGTAGTACGGCGGGATGTCACACGATACTGGGAGCCCGTCACAGGTCAGGGAGGTGGGTCACCCAGCTGGGTAGAGTCACGCCACTCATCACGCGTGACTTATCCGCCGACCGGCGACTGTTGCGCCAATGGCGGCGGCTGCCGGCGGTTTATACTAGAGTGTGCAGTATAAACAGTGCTCCGTGGCCCGGTCCAGTGCCATTTGTCCTGCAGACGCGCCGGACACGATGACTGGTCCCCCGCCCCCCGTACCCCCGTCCCCGTCCCCGTCATCCCCATGCCCAGTCTCTGAGCCCCCGGGCCCACCCGGGCGATGTCATTGTTTGCACCGACCGGCCCTACGGCGGGCTGTTGGCACAGCGTCGGGACACAGTCACAGCCAGGTACGGCACTCTGCCAGATCGAGTTGACCAACGTCGGAACCACCGCGGCGCAGTCGGTGTTGATTTGGTCTCTCAGTTGTAGGCTCGTAGACTCGTCAGTCGTCCATCGAGACATAAAGGGTGATATTGTTCCGTGCTGGTGTTTCTCACCAGACATTTACAAGTAATGTTCCGATTGTCAGCTGTCAAGCGCTACTTTTTTTTTTGTTACAGCTCATTCGGAGCTCTATCTGCTTGTGCCATTGCGACTGTGTATGGCTTCTTTTGCGTAAAGAAACCATAGACAACATATTTAGGCGGTGAATATCAGAGCGAAGTGAGCATTACAGCCCACGAATGATCAAATACGCATTTACAATAGCCCTATAGGATAAATCCCGTTTTGTGAACGACGCAAATTCGCTGCGACATTATTTCCGTCATGGCTAAGGGGAAATCCTGCTCGATATGCGCGACTTATATTGGCTAACTTCGCCTCACCTTCAAGCCAAAGACTAATTACTATACTCTAGTCACAACTTCCAAGTGTAGTAACAGGTGGACTACACAGTACACAGCTCTCGGGAACGTGTGCAATAGGCGATTCTGTCCTGACCTGGCCTGACCTGTGCGTTCTATTCCCCGCAGGTCACACTGCTGCGTAACCTGCTGCAGGCGCGGTTACAGCACAAGCCCGGTCTGCTGATGAAGGAGGCCAGGGCCAACAAGCCAGGTACGTCTGACTGGTGACGGAAGAGGTGTCTGTCATCTGTGTCGCATATTGTGCTGTCCTGATCACTGTACATTGTTGTGGGTATGTGTCTTTTCCAAGTCAGCCGTTTTACAGACCTTATTTCGGCGAGTGGATCGACTCCTGGAATCCTTCATACGATAAATCTTGCCTTAAATCCTGATAGCTTGCGGTATTTGCCCCGCCGACCCCACTAGGAAGGCCCTCAGAAGACACAAGGAAACATCGGTTTACGTTTCACTGAAGTCATCATCCAACTTAACCCCCGTCTGCAGTTTACCATAGACACTCGGGTTTCCCCAGTCGGTGGGACAATGGTTCTTTCTGCGAAGTTGGTCCCTATTTTCTACTTACCGCTAAGGTAACGTCCGCTCGTCGTGCCTCATTACCAGTAATAACAACCTTACGCCAGATGTTGGCATGAAGCGCTACCACCTCGTAGGCGAAACACTCAACTAGTGATCGGGGACTGTGGTGTGTGGGTGGCCTTTGTAACGTCATATTCGGGCGCCGCTTTGATAAGATGTCGACTCGTCTTCCCAGATTTGCACGGTCGTGTTGACTGAACACACTTCCTAACTAAATAATGTCTGCTGTTTCCCATTGATACTGCAAAGTGTTGCTTCCAACTGTCGCCATTCCACCTTCTATCTTAGTTTCTTTGGAGAACTGGCCGTAGCTCCTGCACACATGCTCTCTGCTGCTCTCGTCTGCCGTTGGTGCCGGCCCGGTCCGTCTGGCGGGTCGGGCCGGGTGGAGCGTCACTTCAGCATAAACAGCGGGGCCGAGCCGCCCCCGGGTCGGCTCGGGAGCCGTGAACCTGGCCAGCCAACTGACGGCCGGGAACAGAGTTGAGTGGTCGTGGTTTCCTTACGCTTCCTCTTGTTGCGCATGCAGGGGTTGCATTGCATGAAGCGTTATCATCTACGAAGAAACGAAATGATTACGGATTATTGGCCTCTATGCGACGTAAACGTGAAATTGGCTGGATAAGCCACTCCAGTGCCGCAGCCTTCCCGTCCCAAGCCTCCACAGAAAAGCCTCCGCAGTCCGCAACTTATGTGCTCTCCAAACCTAATCTGGCCGGAGCAGCGGCGCTAACGGTTGTGGTCTGTGTTTATGAGTGTGCGGCTCACTGGCGCACGCCGTATGGATATTGTATACATTACGTCACACTGCCCCGCCCAGTAACCCGCCCGAGATCACGGGACCTGAGCTGTTTACGGGAAGGGCTTCTGAGGGCAGCGTATAGGGCCGCGCCCACTGGGGCTGTTCTGTTACCGGTGTTCACTGGATTTTGTTCCTGGTCTGATCGGCACAGCTGAAGTCGTGAGACGCCCCTGTAACGGATGCTTTGTTGTGGGATAAACTGACAGAGGCTGCCGTGTGCACGGATCTCAAGCGGCGTGCCAGGGTTTTCCAGTATCTGGTCTCTCCCTGTCGGCTGGGCCGCCGCGTCGCGCGGGACGATTAGTGCAGATCATCTGCCCATCTGTTGCGGATTGAACAGTCAAAGGATAGGCGGCTCACGGCGGCTCGCTGTGGCGACTGTGATAACGATGACAGCATCGTGTAGTCGCCGAGGCGGTGTCATGGTCGACAGTAGTTTATACGAGCCTGGCAGTCCACCGGCAACAGCTAACACAAGATCCCCTTACAGCAGCATCTGAGGAAACCGTAGATCAGTTGTGTTTGTAACGCGATCAGAAGAGCACGCCCGGGTGTTCGTGTCGTCAGTCTGTTATACAAACAATGTGTCAACAAGTGTGTCACGGTTGTGATTGCCGTTATATTCGACCGTTTCGTCCTTGGCTTCATTCGTGCATTTTACATGTTGTTCGTGCTGTATTATTTGTCATTACAACGTTCATTAACTGAATGCATGCTAGCACACCGCCTGCATTCCATGAAACAAATTCTTTTAGTGGAATCGTAGCTACATTCGCTTGCTAAATTATGACGCTATTTTGAGCTGCAGGACACTGGCGTGCAGCTGTATTCCACCGAACACCTGTGTGCGATTAGTGAAGACATTGCTGTGCTTACTTTTCACAAAACACACATCTGTCACCCGCCAGTCCGGCCTCCGCTGCGCTATAACTGACCTTTTTACTCCCGCCTCTCTCCCTCTCACCATTCTCTCCCTCTCTCCACAGAGGTGGTGTTCCGCGAGTGCAGCGTCAACCCTCCGGAGCAGACGCTGGACTTTCTGCAGGAGCACCTGCCGCTGCTGGCGCTCACGAACCACGAGGCCAAGCCGCTGTACCTGAACGGCGTGATGCGCGCCGTGAGCGCGGCCATGAACGGCACGGGCGGCGGCCAGCGGCTGGAGCAGGCGCGTCAGCTGCTCGGCGTGCTGGCCGTCCATCCGGTGCTCACCAGAGATGACAAACGGTGAGTGGTGACTAGGGGAAGAAGCGGGGAGGGAGGGGTTAGGGGGTGGTCAAAGAGATTGGTGGTCCGGGAGTTGTCTCAAAGAGTTGTCAAAGTGTTGTGCTGGTTTGTGAGTCTTCAAGGAATATTAAGATTTGTCTAAGGACCTTGTCACAGTTGGTAAGGAAATGCGGGTCTCCCAACATCTGAACAGCTGGTCCCCGGTAACTACCTAACAAGCGCGAAAATTTGCTCCTTGTCTCAGCGGGTCCTTCAGTCCTAGTCGAACTTTCAGAAACGACGCCAAATAGCGACGCTATTTGTAATACCACTGTCGATGGGTTTGGATTAAAAACACGCAAGTCAAGTTCGATGTTGACATATGCTCGAGCTTCATGCCAACATTTTAAGCTTGTCACCCTCCACTTCCTCAGCCAAGCTCAATGCCTCGCCCTTCTCCCTCTCACCCTCCCTCTTATCCTCCCCCTCATCCCCGCGTCCAGTGGCACACGCCCGTCTCACCCCTCCCCTATGTGTCTTCTAGTCAGCGCTCACTCCTCCCCTATTTGTCTGGTCAGATCAGTGTGTCATATGTCAGCCGTGATGAGTCGCGGCCGCAGAGTGACGCACGATCCCTCTCTGTGTGTGTATAGTATGTGTGAGTGACCTCAGCCGACAGTTGTGTTTGGCACTGACTCACTGCCATTACGGCGAGACGGAACATAACGAGCTGCTACACTACGACAGGGACCGTGCATGTGTTCGTCAATTTTAGCTGTCATTGGTCATGAATTAAAACACGAAAATATGTTTTCGAATGGCTTCAATATCATCTTTTGGATTAACACAAGGCCACCTTCCTAATCAAATATATTTAATGTTTACATCTGTCTCCTTATTCGAATCTTCTTGCGGGATCCGGCATTCGGAATGTCCTGAGCCGCCAAGCGACATTGAAGGCAACTGAAGGCAGACTTTCCTGTTCTGTGATACCGGTTCGCGGCTTGTGGTGGCCGCTTTTTGGCAGGGCTCTGCACGAACACCATAGAAAGAATTAAGAAATTTTCGCGCCGCGCCCTCACATGCATTTCAACAGACATCACACGGATGAAGCGATATGACGGTGCACTTGTGATTTGGTGCAACCCAGGATGTGTCTGGTCTAAGTGGCGATCCTTACTATGCAAAATCTCATAAGGTTTTGTTCATGTGGCCCTACTTCCGACCAGGATCTGGGCTGTTTTTCTATCAGTGTTGCACTTCGCACCACCTGTCCGCCTGTATGTGTGTGTGTAATTTTACGTATGTGATGACGTGATTGCCGTGCCCAGCACGCCACCGGCCGGCGGCTGACCCCACCCCTTCCATGTCACAGTGTGGTGCAGAAGCTGTTCGCCGACTACACGGAGGCGGCCGGCGGCGGCAGCGGCACCTCGCCGGACCGGCGCGGCGCCGCGTCACTGCTCGCCTCCGAGCAGCGGCGGCACAGCGCGTGCGCCGCGTTTGGCGGCGAGCTGCGCGTGCCCAGTCCGGCGTTCAGCCCGCCGCAAGACGCGCCGACCACCGGCGCACCGTCCGCCTGGCAGGGACGCAACCTGCTCAGTCCGAGCCACGGTTAGTGCTGTCGACCGGCCGCGCCCCGGAGCTCGGCCATGGATTAGCGTGACAGTGGGGCTGGCGAGGCCGCCGGCCGACCGGCCAAGCCCAGCCGGGCCCACCGCTCGGCCGCCGCGACTTATGGCATTCCGAACCGGCTCAGCGCGGCGGCGCGTCCTCCGTTCGAGATGGGTGGATCGTGACTGGGTGATGACGGCGCAGCTGGGTGGCTTGACCTTGCCGCTGGTCATCGGGATGTCGGGCTCCGATTGCTTGGTTTGATGACCATTTATGGGATAAGTTGCAGCATGGTATCGCTGCCTGTTTGTATCATCTGCTAGCGTGCCCCAATAAGCTGGATGGATTTGAGCCAGCTGTGTTTTGAAATAGATGTCGGTGTTCTTTGAGCTAGACCCATTTCAGGGGATTGCTAACTAAAGTGGTCCTCTATCAGATTGTTGTGCTTGCTGAGCTCGAACCGTGCTGGCTTGTCATGATATCTAACATGAAATCAGTCCTAGGTATATCGTAATGCCACTTGTCCGATTGTTCCACGATAAGTGGGCGAATCTCGGCGAAGTCGCGTAGGCTGGTGTTACCAACGATCTTTCATTCCGCGTCATAATCTAGACTTAAGGCCTGGCTACACTATGCGTTTTCTGCGTGCGTTTTTGCAGGTTTGCGTGTTTTGCGTAATATCGTTCTAGGAAAAAAGTTATAAACAATATAATTTTTACTTTGGTTATATACAAAAGCTAACATAACTCTTATGTAACTAAAATTTAAGGTGAAAAACATCACAAAAACGTAATATCGTTCTTTTTTCTAGAACGATATCACGCAAAACACGCAAACACGCAAAAAACGCACGAAGAAAACGCATAGTGTAGCCAGGCCTTTATTAGCTAGGTTAGAACTTTAGTATATTCCAGCGTATTAGCTACGTATAAATGTCTGTTAATCTAGTTCTGATTCATACAATAAGTTATAGTACGAACTGACGATATCTGAAAACGAAAGCTTTTAATTACAGTTATACGAATGGCAACATTTTGAAGGCACAACCTTCCGGGATTATCATTAGTCACAGTGTCATAAACATGCCGCGATATAACAGCCCTCGGTGTTTCTTAGTGCTTAGGCACTGGAGTGTCTGATTTTTTTTTTTTGCGCACGTTGATGCCAGATCGGCTACGCAAACGCATGTTATTGGCAATGTTTTTGTTTCTAACTCTCGAGTATAACTGACCAAGCGAATGCTATTCTTGATAACGGTGTGTCGGTGATTCTGTGACTGGTTCTCAGCTGGTGATTGGCGATGTGTTTGACCAATATCTGTGTGACCTTTTCCCGTCTGTCTCCCCTCCACAGCGTCGGAGGGCTCGTACTCGTCCGACCAGAACCAGCAGCAGTCCCAGCAGCGCCTGCGGTCCAACAGTCTGACGCCGCCGGGCACCTACAGCCCGCCGGCCGGCGACCTGCACCCGGTCAGTGAGACAACGGGGAGACTCGCGGGGTCATACAGGGGGACCGTGGTGTCAGTAGGACAGAGTCTGCGAGGTCAGTGACATGGCGGAGGATCTGGCCAGCGATGCTCGCGGACGATGTGCTGGTGGGGTGTTTCAGACCACGGGGAAACGAGTCATGAACTTTTCATTGACTTGTTGCCAGTGTAACTGGTTTTACGTGTTTTAGTACCGTCCTTGGTGATATTTTCGTCAGGTCGTCTACGTTTGCCGTCCCGTACACTCCACTCAGTCACAGTCTGACCACACCTCTTCGTGTCTCCGCAGGGTGACCTGCTGAATGCGAAGCCGCGCAGCTCGTCCATCCACCTGGACCACAGCCCGCTGGGGCCGGGCGCGGCGCCGACCGTCACGTCCAGCGGCGGCTCCGGCACCTCCGGCCAGGCCGGCTCGGCACTCCTCTCCGCCCAGTCGGCCGATAAAAAGGTACGAAACGGATGGGAACATTCACCCTTCTAGCATGAGTGTGTCAACTGTCACAGGGTATCCCGTTCCTCTATAAATTACCTCGGGCTGTCTGCCCCAAGTGGCAATGCTCCTCTCTCAGTTCACATCCACCAGCCTATTTCTGTTTTCTTTCCCATCTCCCATTTTCCTCATTCTCGCTCCACCCCGTCTCTGACCTCCCCCCCCCCCCCCAGTTCACATTTGTCCGATGGTCAGCACTTACGATACTCTGCCCGTCCCGTTTTGTGACCGCTTACCCGCTCTGTTCACAGTCGTCGGGTGGTCAGCCGCCTCGCTCCAACAGCCACAGCAGTCTGAGCGACATCAGCCGCGACAAGGCCTTCTCCGTGCGCGGCAGTGGCACCACCAGTACGTGAGGGTAGCGGCACGGTGCATGGTACCAGGAGAGGGAATCGGTAGACGTGACTCAGCTTTATGAGATTTTCATTTAAGTTGAAGCATCGCAAGGTGATGAAAAGGGAGAGATACCTAGCTTTTGAAAGACGAAGGTCGAGTAAAAGTAAAGATGGTCATAACCGCAGAATTGAAACTCTGGATCGTTTGTAGGTGTATCAGCTGCAGCTCATTTTGACTGGTTCTTTTCTTAATTAAACTGTAGCCTCCGCTTGAAACTGACCTTCATCTCCGCCTGCAGCCGTTCCTAAGTGGCTGCACAAGCTCCGTTTGCACAAGTACACGTGGATATTTGCCGGTATGACGTACGAAGACCTGTTCGATGTCACCATGGAGAAGCTGCTTCGTCTGGGCGTCACGCAGGGCGGCGCCAATAAGTTGCTGAGGAACATCCAGGAGCTCAACGACCGAGCGCAGAAGCTCAAGGACCTGGAGCAGGTACACAGACACGATGACTTTTGAACACATCTTACAGCGTGGTTTGAATTTCGCTTTGATTTATTCGAGTTTGAAATGTGATTTTGTCATATAACAATCATTTGACTCTTTTTCCGAACCCCTTGTTTGCATTTTTATATTTCGATTAGTGAATCCCTTTTATATAAATCCCTTGTTCCTGTGTTTTGTACCCATGATCAGTGCTGACTTCACCCCTCTTGCGTCCGTCAGGGTCTGACCGAGAACAAGATATTCCTGAGCGCGGCGCTGGAGATAATGCAGGTGATGGTGGTCTCGCCGATGCGGCCGCACAAGCCGCGTCTCTCGCCGTCTCCGGCGCCGTCCGCGCCCACCCCGCCCACCACGTCAGCCACCGGTACACCGCTGATCCGCGTCACACGCTCTGACGACTCTGAGGAGCCCGCCTCGCCTCCGGCCGGCCCGCCCGTGCCGACCACCACCACTGCCGCATCCACGGGCACTGCGTCAACCACCACTGCTACTACCACTATCAGCGGCAGCGGGCAGGGAGACCCTCCGCCGGCCGCCGGCAGTGCTAACACCTCCGGAGAGGCGGACCTGCAGGCGCTGATGACGCGCGTGCTGGCCAAGATGTGCACCCAGCTGCTGGTGACCCAGTCGGCTGACGATGAGGCGATCCAGACGTTCCTCTGGGTGCTCGACGAGGCCACCTGGCACGAGGCGTTCAACGACGCTCAGCGCAGGAAGTTCGTCACCTGGAAACGGCAGATCAGTCTCGAGCTCGGCCGGAGACAGGTGAGATGGGTCACTCAGCCTGAGCCGATCAATCGTACTGTATTCTGCTTAATTCGTCACTTCTTTTATTTCGATCGTGTTTCGATAGAATCATCATAAGTGTCTCATATACACTATGTTTTCCGCCTATACAAGGCACTTGTATATTCCGCCTTCCCGGCTGTATTGATTCTAAGATTCATACGGTGCCGTAATTTACCGGAAATCTGTCCCGTTATTGGCTGTGAGTTTTCGCCGGACTGACTCGCCGCCCTCCGTGCCGTCGCCAGGTGTTCCCGCCACCGTTCCGGCGCCACTCGGACGCCCGGCAGTACCACTCTCAGCGGCGGCACAGCGACGCGCGCGGCTACGGACGCCGCTTCCCGGCCTCCTCCGGGTCGGGTCGCGCCGCGCCGCCCCACTCCGGCGGCTTCATGGGCGGCGGCGGTGGCGGCGGTGGCTACCCGGCGCCCAGTATCGGGTACTGGGGCGGCGCGCCGACCGGCGGCGGCGGGCAGCTGCCGGCGGCGGTCCGCTCCCGGGGCGCACCGTCATCACTGAGCCCCGGCTCGCACGGTGTGCACTTCCCGCGCCGCACCAGCCTGCAGGAGAGCGTACTGGAGGTGAGTGAAAACAAAGGAAACGCCAGATGATAGGACGAGATGTCGACCTAGTGTATGGGGATGTTGACTAGGGTTAAGCGTTGTTCGTACATGCTGAGCATTCGTCATGCTGTCGTGTGGTTCATTTGGAGGGTGCGGCAACCGATTCTGACACCTGTCTCGGTTTGTCGCTCTGCCGTATCGTGGCATTGAGGACGCAGACCGCCGCCAGGTTTCCCGGATAGTGCACCGTTGTGGCCGTCTGGCCATACACGCCTGGGCCACTCCCCGTACACTGTATGTCCGGTCTATGACACCCCCCCCCCCCCTCCCCGGCAGGTGCCACACCTGTCCAGTCTGTACCGGACCAACTCTGGCGACATCTACCGGCCGACGGCGGGCACCCACTTCTCGGCGCCGCCGCCCACCTACGGCTCGGGCCGGCTGGCCACGCCGGCCCTGCAGTCGATCCCGGCTGCCGCGCCGCCGCCGCCGCCGCCCCCGCCCCCGCCGCCGCCGGCCGCCGACCCGGCCGGCCGACTGGACTCGCTCGAGAGCATCTGCCGCAGCGTGTGTGAGACGGCGCTCAAGTAGAGGCGCGCGCCGAGTGGCCTGCCATTGCGCGGTATCCGTGCCGAGACGGTGGACCGGGGCCGGGGAACTGAGGCTGGGCGCCCGCCCGGCCCGCGCCGCTGTGATATCTCCCCCTGGGCGTCTGCCCACGGCCGATGGCGCCGGACCCGTCCGCCGGCAGTGAGTGTCGGACGGCCCGTCGGAGGGAGTGAGGCTCCCGCCGTCCGCCGTCGTGCTCTGCCGACCTCAGTCGCCGCCGCTGCCCGCCCGGCGGCCTGCCGGTGGCGCCGGCCGCGCCCGGACCCCTGGCCGTTTTTATGGCCGGGTCTGGGCCCAGACGTTTGTCGTCCGCTGTTGAAAGTTGAGCTTACCTTTGTGATGGTGTAGCTGCCACCATTTTCGCTGCGCCGCCAGCGCTGGAGGCCGGGGCCTGCCGTCGACGGTTTGTCGCTGTTTAATTGTTAGATGTTTGTCTGTGGCGACGAACTGATTTGTTGTAACATCATGTCCATGACTGCGCGCAAATTTTTCGCTTTCCTACTAACAACCACTGACTGTTGTGTGTGTGCGCACGAGAAGCGGCCGCGATGGCTTGGTACGCTCGGTTGTGTTGTGTTTACACGTTAAGGCGGGTTATTTGTGCGCTTCTCCCTGGACTGGCGCGGCGCCGTCGGCCCCGGCTGTTACGTGTGTTCGTGGATGGCTTGCGCTGTGCTGGTGGGGGCGGACGGGGACTGAAAGTGTCACTGAGGTGTGTGCACCGCGAGCTGCTGAGGCGGCCGGAGCTGGGAGTGTCTGATCGTCATGGGGATCTAAAACGCCATGCTGTGTAGCTAGGGCGGACGGGCGCGGCTCGGCCGCGAGGCGCGTCTTGCTCAACACGAGTCGAGGGGTCACCCCGGCGTCCGAGGGTGTACTGCGGCGCCCCCAGCGGCCGGATCTCGCCGAGTGGCGGCGGCGGCGGCGGAGGCGGGCGCCGCCAGCGCCGATCTTTTTGTAGTGTGGTGTTGACCGGCTGCGCTGGGCACCAATACAGTGTCCTGCTTAGTGCCTTGTGAATGGCGATGGCAGTTGGACTTTGAACGGGTGCGGGATTCACTGAGGGTGAAAAGTCGAGCTGGTAAAGTGTTAAATGGTTAATTTTTTGAAAGCCTATTGATGGTCTGAATTGTCAATGTTGGATGTTGATCCACTGTCTATGACTATTCACAATATAAGATGATGAGCAACCGTGAGTGTTTGGCGTACCGTTAGTCGCAGGTGGTCCTGGGGTTTCACCGGGCGTGAAAAAATAACTGGGAAAGCCTTAGCCCTGGGTGAGCTTCACATCGACATTACTGCTTCACACAATCGAGGATTTTTTTGGCTGCCTTGGAGGATTCTTTTTCAGTAAATAAAAGTTATAAGTTATAACATGCATGGTTTGTATCATAATTCGTGTAATATGAACAAAAGCAAGCTAGACTTTGAAAGTTTCTTTAAAAAAAAGACTACGATAGATTATGGGTTCTGCATGCTGATGCCGATGCCCCCGCACCATGGATTACCAACTACCACATCCTTCACTACTACATGCCTACTGCATGGGGCTACTTCATCCGACCCCCACCAAACACGATTTGGCAGCACTGTAATGAGGCCTGCTGGGCGTGAAGTTTTCCCTTCACCATAGGGTTTACACACAAACTGGTCAAAGTTTGAGCCAGGATATACTAGTCTAGAAATGCAAAAAACGAACAAATTTTGGCATCAATAGATTCAGCATTTCATCGTGTGCCTCAAACCGTCCATCATTTGGCCTCAAAGGAGGTAAAAATTGTTCAAAATCGAAGTTGAAAAGATGCTTTCTGAGCACATAATCTGGTAGCAATCACGTGACCTGCTATAAGCAGCTTATCGATAATTTACAAATATAATTATTAATATTCTGCTTTAAACAACATTAATCATACATTTTGAGCTTTCAGTACTTTAAATAAGGTCAAAACATCGCAAAACACAAAAATTAATACAATAGTCACGTGGGTGTCAGGAAATGTCACAGGTGCGTCAAATTTGTGACTGGGGCTTTACTTTCAAACATCGGATCTACCTGTTTCTTATAGGTATCTTGACTTCATCCATGCCCGCACCTTGGACAACACTTGAGAATCTATGACGTCATTTACTCTACATTTCATTCAGAATGCGTCGAAATGTATCATCCTTGTTTATTTTCATCAATGCGTTGTGTCAATATAAATAAACCCGTTGTGTGCAATAATTTATTTCAATTTTGCAATATCAATGAACACTGATCACTTATCAGTGATGTCATCATGACTTTATGCTGCAGGTTCTTCACCTGTCACGGTCATAGAATACTATTCACCTGTTAGAACTTAGAAGCTTAGGTAAGTAGGTTTTGATCCCATTGTGTTTGAAAGCCCGAGTGAAGTTGAAATGGAGATTGTCAGCCTTTGTTTAAAATGGATTTTTTTGCGCTTAAACCATTAATTTCACTTGCTTATTGAATGAGGATTAAGTAAAATATTATGTCTATCATTCCACAAGGTGGTATAAAGAGTCCTGTGTTGAAGAGTACATACAGCAGTAGGTAAGGTAATGTTGAATATTACATTTTTAACTCGAGATGTGCTGGCATTGGTTGTGGCGGTCAGATGCATTATCTTATAGACATGTTTGCCACAGCCCACAGGTGTGCTCTAACCACCACACTGCAAATAATTGTAAGTTAACATAATCTGACAAAGTGTTTTGCTTGTGACGAATGTTGTACTCAATGACAGAGTTATGCAGATTGCAGAATGACTTAATGGATTCCAGCCTGTTTTGCCGATTGTCAAATAGTGATGAACATTGCCGAATGCCGATTGGTTATGCTGAATAATGCTTGTTCAAACTGATGCTGAAATGGTTTTGATGATTGGCCATTAAAAAATGCAAGAAGGTGTACAACTTCCTGTTGGTGTGGTGCGAATTGCATATGAGATGCTGATTTGGTATGGAGTGAGGTATTGGATTGGCATTTGGCAAACTGATTTTTTTATATTCCAAATTAAAGATATTAGGTTGTGTGCTAATACAACTTCTCCCAAGCTTTTGCAGCAAAAGAGTGGTTGGTAAACCAATGTGTTTTTGGGATTGTAACTTTGAATGGCAAAAGACACTCAACTTTCCAGTAAAATGACTTAATAAAATGAGAACAGGGTTTTATGGACACTTCAGCAATGTTTGACAGTCTGTGGTAGATGCTCCTCAATTCAGATTACCTACAGATCAATTATCATTGTTGGTATCCAACATCCTAATACCTGTGGGGGGGGGGGAGGGGCGATGGCCTCTACTAATGTTTGGGAGATCTGGCAGGGACCTCCATTGGCCAGACCATTTTTTTAAGTAATTGAACTTGAAAAATCAAGAGCTAATGGGTTCTTGACTCTTTGAGTCTTGGAAGTGTTGATTCATCAATCTTGTGGTGCAATTTTCAGATGCTTTTTTGTTTTGGTTTGGATGTTTTCAGGTTGGTTGGCACTAAGCACAGGCTGGTCCTGGTGAGGATTTTTCTTTACAGCTGGTGTCTTCTGGCTTTTCAACCCTGGACTGCTATGCTTTGCACTTTGGGGCTTCCAAGCTGATGTGTCTTTCACATAGGAACCCACTGCTGCTGAATGACTTAGGACTGCAGTGCATGTGTACAGGCCTTTTTAGGCTACATTTAGAAACATATTTACAAAGAAAGAGAATATTTAGAAGCTGCCAACAATGGTCTAGGAACTAGTCAAATTCCTAAACGGTAAAACTTCTGTGAGCAGGCCATTGACTTTGAGAAGAGCACAGAGACTGACATGAATGGGTTAGCAGACACACAATCACACTGAACACATACAGGGTCTTGTCTGGTCTTGTCATCCCACATATTAACACAGTGTCCTTCAGCTTGATATTGAGGTTGTGAATTGAGCAGCTTTTCTGAAAAGTGCAGAAAATCTGTGGATAAACGGTCATCCGCAAGATAAGACACTGCCCAACCGATGTTTCTTTTTTTGAAAAAAATATGGAAAAAAATGCTTTTAATCATTAATGTGATACATGCAACTTTAAACCCTTTTTTCGGCAGTGGGCCGGTGTGCGCGGTGAGCCAGCGCCCCGTGCGGCGCCGGTACAGTCCGGGTGGGGCGCAGCGGGCCGCCGGGCGCTCCCTGCCGCCGCGCCATGGAGCTGTCGCCGACCTACTCCGAGTCGCCGCCGGACGGCTCGGTAGCAGCCGCCTGCTGCGACTTCACCACCTGCTGCTACTCGGGCCTGTGCGCCGTGCTCTGCTTCACCGGCGTGGCCATCACGTTCATCTTTAGGTGGGTCTGGACGGGGTGGCGTCGGTCGGCGAGGGGAAGATTTTGTAATTTTAGGGCGCCCGGACTTCAGAGGTCATCAGAGCAGTGGCAGTTATTCTTGCGGGGCATGAGCTGGGTCACATGCCTGATGCCAGCACTGGGGAAATTGCCAGATAAGACTCAGCCTACGCAATTAACCTTGACATAGACAATAGACATCGACTACCTGAGTACAGTGATCGACTACATGAGTACAGTGATCAGATAGTCAAATGTTGATGCCACTTTCGCTCCCTCTCCTGCAACGCCCAGCCCTTACCTTGCCTCTGCCCCACCTTGCGCCTGCCCCGACCCGATATGATAGGGTCCCTCCGCCAACAGCTCTGCGCCGGACCAGGACGCAGGCCTGGGTGTGGCGACTCCACAGACCTGGCTGCTCGGGCCCGTTCTCATCCTGCTCAGCGTGCTGGTGGCCGTCAAAACGCTTATGCACGTGCGCAAGCAGCGGCTGCGTCTGGCCGGCGGCCGGCAGCGGCGGCACAGGCGGCGGCGGCGGCCTGACTCGCTGGACCAGGCCGAGCTCGAGTCGGGCCTGGAGCTGTCGCTGCCGCCGCGCGGACACGACCTGCCGCCCTCCTACGAGGAGGTGATGAAGCTGATGCAGGAGGAGCGGCGAGGACCGCCGCCGCCGCCTCCCCCTCCGCCTCCACCGCCCCCACCGCCAGCGGAGGTGGTGCAGTGATGGAGGGCTCACTCACACGCGCACACTCTGGTCTGGAGACCGCGCAGCCAGGTAGCCGGGCCATACACAGCGAGGTGGTGAGTATACGTCTGAGAGTACCCGCCTGTACAGGGTGCGACTGGCTGGACGCTGTATGTCTGGATGTGATTGATGTGACACGCACATACCCTCGAGTATGTGACAGGTTCGATGTGACTGATGTTAGAGCCTTCCGCTGGAAGAGTTGATGATCTGATTAAAAGTTAACTGCGCTCCATAGCGCGTGGTCGATGGTTGACCACGTACCGAACACTGCTGATCAAAATAAGACGACGGCATTTAAAACGTGCCAACTAAGGCGTACGTTTGTCGCTCAAAGTTGACGGTCCTCTGAGATCCTGCGACTCCCTCAGACTCTTCTGGGTGGTTAAAATTGGTCATTGGCCGGTGTCATGGCTAACGCAGGCTGTTCCGGTAGAAGGGATGGGAGAGCGTACGAACGGGACCGGATTGCCGGGACAGTATCTGGGTAGTGGTTCAATGCTATCGGTTTTCAATGTCCCCGTGGGTGATGCTGGACAGTACTCGGTATGTAACTAGACTCAAATGAGATTGGCTTTGATAGCCATTGTTTACCTTTTGGAATGTGCTCACTTCCCAATGTTTAACTGCACCCAGTCCACAAAGCGGTTGTGGTATTCTCTTACTAGTTGCACAATAAGCTAAGCAGAACTCAAGATGTTCCTTTTATTTTCGCATGCATTTTTCATTATAAGGCACATGCTATTTGAGTAAATGGCAATATTGTAGGAAGCGACAGCGTTCGGTTTTACTGTTTCGATTGTCTATTTTGCTCGTGTCTGTGTTTATTGTCATTAGGTGTTTGGATTGGGTGTTTTGCCATACCGTTGGCGTCCGAAGAAAACTGAAGTCTTCTACGAGGAGCTTTACCGTCAGACTTGTGTCGGGCCGGCAGCTGCGCGCTCGGTCGCGACTGTTTTGTGCCAGACATCTGTCCATCCCGTCCAATGTAGCCGGACGCTGCATATCTCGCAACATCATATCCTTTTGAGCGCAATAGTGGTCCACGGTCATCATATCGTTGTCGCGCGGCGCCTCTGACTGTCGGTGGCCGGCGGCTCACATTCCGTGTATTGGTGTGACGGCCGTCCGTGACGTTACGTTACCCCCTCGGGGCGGTGACGGGTCGCCAGTCGCCCTACGGCGAGCGACTGCCAGCTGTGTCCGTGTGGTGTCTGCAGGGTGAGTGGGCGCGAGTGCAATTCTACGTACAATTGTCTGTCTGTGGCGGTGTGCGGCGGCCGTTCAGCTTTACATAGAATCTGTCCAGGACGGATCTGACGCCGGGTTGTCCGGCGACCCCAGAGAATCTCCCCGGCGCCGGTCCCGGGCCGCGGCCGGCCACCGCTCCGGCGCGCGCGGCCGCCGCGCAGACCATGATTCGTGTCTTTCGAAGGATGTTCCGCCGTACAATGCATGCATCGTCCAGGGTGGGTGTGCCGTGTCGACTGTACTGCACCAACAGAAATTCGGCGAGTCCATATATGATACAATATGCTTGCGTCATATTCACTGGCACGTAACGCCCAACATGTGTATTTTTGTAATAAAATGGTGTGATGTTAATAACGGAATGTTCTCAGCTTCAAGAAATACTCATTAATACAAACTGGGCAAGGAGTTATCGCAAATACGAACATATCGGAAACAGGTATGCCTCCAGGCTCGATCACACGTCATGTCAGGCACGTTGACACAGATCTGACATGAATGACCCTCCTGTCCATCGCTATGGTAAAACAGAACAGTCGAGACATGTAACCTTGATCTGCACCGGTTCGCCAAATTAGCAATTATCCCTATTAGTCCTCTAAGAACATTGCAGTCAACCCGGGAAAACGCAGGCGCATGACTGTCTGTCGTCACTAAGGACAATACCCCGGTAAACGTTCGTGGTTTACGTCACGATGTTACCCTCAATGTTGCGCACCGTATTACGTAAGCTAACGAGACGGAAGTCACTCAGGGAACATTTCATTTGGAGTGATTAATTACCAATCGCATAACAAGCATCGGGTAACACCGAATGTCGAGACAGGGGCCGACATTTGAGGGTAGGATAACAACAGACACGCTTTATTATGACAGTAAAGTCCCTGCTTGTGCGACGACGACAGCATTAATACCATCTTACAAACAATAGTAGTATTATCAATAATCAAATAGCACAATACAATAACATTTTAACCCGTGGCCAGTGCGAGAAAACGACTAAAACATGACGGTAGGTACAACAGCCTTGCAATCACAGTTCACTCTAGAGCATTTCCTTTCTCCCCAAGCAATGTAAATTGCAGGGCTGAACGCTTACTACATCCCCATCCTGGTAAAACCCCTGCTTCTAACCCGTAAACTGGATGATATTGTCACGTGAGACGCTAGCGTCTAGCGTAGACCGTTCGGCAAGCATAGCTACCCGGAACAAAGCTACATCCTGCAGCTGATCTCGGCACTATTGCTCTCCTGATAATCCCTGCTATCTGATTGCTAGCCCGCCGCTAATACTGTTTATCTGCTGGCGACCCTGCTTCAGCTACTGCTGGTGACCTGGCTACCGCTGCTGTCCCTGCAGTACAGTTCCCCTACTACCATGAGCTGCAGCAGCCGTTGTCGCCCCTGCTATTGTCACTACCCCTGTAGGTAGGTAGCACTACTTCTCTACCCTCAGCTGCTGCTACCTATTGCCCCTGCTTATGTCACTGCCCCTGTAGTAGTGTTTCCCTCCCACCTTCAGCTGCTCCCGCCGTCCTGCACCAGTTTCTGCGGCGCGCCCTCAGCTGCTCCCGCCGTCCTGCACCAGTTTCTGCGGTGCGCCCTCAGCTGCTCCCGCCGTCCTGCACCAGTTTCTGCGGCGCGCCCTCAGCTGCTCCCTCCGTCCTGCACCAGTTTCTGCGGTGCGCCCTCAGCTGCTCCCGCCGTCCTGCACCAGTGTCTGCGGCGCGCTGGCCGCCGGCCACGGCAGCCGACCCAGGTCGACGTTACCACCACAGAGCACCACCCCGACTCGTCGGAGGTCGGCAGGGAGCTGGTCCGAAAGAGCCGCCGCCACCACCATCCCGGCCGACGGCTCGATCACGTGCTGTCGGCACGGAACGGAGGGGTAGATCAGTATCCCATACGGTAATTGATGCGGTGGCTACTTACGCGTAAATCGAGGCAAGTTACATGCATCGAACAAGCTCTGGCTGGCCACTGCGAACTGGACGCACATGGCATGGATTTACCCGACGATTCGAGCCAACGTAAGTGCATCAAACTTACTAACGGCAGGTGGTCGCCGCTCAGACGTTACTTGGCATCACTTATCAGACCAATCATCGTGTAAGTGTAATAAGTAATAGAACACCATACGAGCAGAGTGGGGGGGGGGGGGGGGGTCTTATTGTCATTACCAGGGCTGCGGAGTCGGAGTCGGAGTCGGAGTCGGTCGGAGTCGACAGTTGTGACCGGAGTCGGAGTCGGAGTCGATTTTAGAAACCCGAGCCGGAGTCGGAGTCGGAGTCACCGAAAATCTGTCGACTCCGCAGCCCTGCTAGGTCTGCGGAGTCGAAGTCGGGAGTTGGAGTTGGTCGGAGTCGACAATTCTGTGCGGAGTCGGAGTCGGAGCTGTTTTTTGAAAGCCGGAGTCGGAGTCGGAGTCGGAGTCGCCGAAAATCCATCGACTCCGCAGCCCTGGCTCATCACCCACCTTGGTCCTCTCCCAGAAGAGTCGCGTGGCGTCCACGATCTGCCGGTCTGTGACAGTGATCACCTCCGGCTCCACCAGCCGGCAGAGGATGGGAAATGTCAGCTGGCCGCACTGCTGCGTGGTGCAGCCGTCAGCCAGCGTGCTGAGGAAGCGCGGCGGGTCCGCCCACAGCCGCCGGCCGGCGCGCAGACACGGGCCCAGCTCCTTACCGGCCGGCTCGACGGCGATCACTGCGGCGGGTGGCGGGGGTCAGACATACAGAGCGCGACTGCTGGGACCGACCGAGAGGATGGTCCTGTGCGGTGTGTGGAGGACCGGGTGTTGAGGTGGTGCACATCATAAGGTTTAGGCGTTGGGAATATGCTAGCTTTTAGCATTGAAAAGTATGGATTTGAGAAAAAGTCACGACAGAAAGACCAACATTCTCTTTCCAGAGAATGTCTCACAAATCGAGCGTGTTGAGGGCATTTGGCATGCATCGGCAATCGGCATATTTAATCTAACGTCCATCGAATCAACAGGAACATTCCTACAAGACAAGGTGCATTGATTACGAGCGAGCGAGCGCAGCGAGCGAAGTGAGTCTTTTCAATATAACGGAAAAATCTCAGTATGAGCGGCCCGGCCCGGCCCGGCCCGGCCCGGCCCGGCCCGGCCTGTAACGCTTTTGAGAGGCTTATATCTCAGCAACCGCTGGACCGATTGGCCTGCGGTCTTTTTTGTTGGGTAGCCCCATCCCTTCTACCCCGTAATTGACTACTTTTGATACATCTCAGTGACCGCCGTGGCACGTGCCACGTGAAAAGTTAAGGGTGTTCAAGCAGTTTTGCAAAAGTAATGATTTTGAGAGGCCCATATCTCAGCAGCGGCTTGAGCGATTGTCTTGCGGTCATTTTTATAGGGTAGCTGCATCCCTTCTACCAAAGGTCGGATACTCTTCATCTATGTGAGTGACCCCCACTGCACGTGCAAAATACAACAATAAGAGGTGCCAAATTTGTTCCCATTTCAGTAGCTCGGTAATTACTGGGGCGATTTCGCTGAAACTTGGCATACAGGTAGGCACCCACCAGGCAATGCATTCCCATGTGTTGCGGTTAGGGTGCTACTGCACGTGCGCACGTGCAGGGGGCGTTTCCAGATCTCGAGAACGGCTGGGCCGATTGCGCTCAAATTTGGTACACGGTTGGGGACCAGTTAGTAGGGTGCCGTGCAAAAGTCATTTTGGACCCCGTTTGCACGTGCGCACGTGCAGAATGCCGCTTCCAGATCTCAGGAACGGCTGGGCCGATTGCGTTCAAATTTGGTACACCGCTAGCGACCGGTTAGAAGGATGCTTTGCACAAGCCCGTTGGAAGCACCCTCTCGCCCTTCCGCACGTGCAGGGCTCACTATCTCGCTCGCTCGTTCTTCGCCCAAAAGGCGTTTTACTGGTTCGTAAAAGTTCCAGCATTACCGGAGCCACAGAAACTCGCGATCCAATTAGAATAGTTGCAAGTTTCGTTAACTAAAAAGTAAAATCTTAAAAGTTTTACTAAAACACCAGTGAACAAACTAAGCTTTAATTGTATCGAACCGTCTACAGCACAGCCAGTCCCACAATTAGCGCATTGACCGCTGACTATCGAATGAGCGGTGGCTGACCTTTGCACTCTGGCCGGAGCTCTTTCACTACGGTGGCGATGCCCGAAATCATTCCTCCGCCACTGACTGCCACCAGCACGGCGTCCAGATCCGGCACCTGAGGGCACACAGGGAGAGTTAGGTTCAGAGAGCAGTGGTGACACACTGGACGGGGTACGGCAGGGTCAGAGATCGCCTTGTGAGGGATAGCTACTGAGAGAGGCAGACTTTGATACTGCTCCTGACAGACGATGGTAGGTAATCAGGTTTGCTGATGAGGTGTGCATGTGGATGACAAATGAGACAGTGTTATCAGACGCAAAACGCCTCTAATACTTCCAAAATAACAACAAAAAGCGGAGGCACAGCTCGTTCGCTCAAAAAAAAAAAACGAAAGCGCAGCTCGTTCGCTCAGAGAGAGGTCTATTCATGATTATAGTTCTATCGCTAACCATCGGGTCTGATCAGGGTTGCGGAGTCTATGGATTTTAGGGTGACTCCAACTCCGACTCCGGCTTCAAAAATCGACTCCGATTCCGACTCCGAATCCGGACGGAATATCATGATATTAAAATTCATGATGGAGATGTTTTTTATCTTGCCTGAAACGATCCCTTGTGCGTTCCAAGGCTTTGCGTTGCAAATGTGCATGAAAAATAAGTCTTCTGCTTCTTTCGCTAAAAACGATCGTCCAAAACAGCAAAATGGTCTTTTTTCGACAAAATACAATTTCGAGCGCAATATCGTCAATCAAACAGGTGCAGTGCATGACGTTGAGCCATGCAGCGTTAACTCCGACTCCGGAGTCGGAGTCGGTAAGATTTTGGCAACTCCTACTCCGGGCAGAATTCTCGACTCCGACAGAGTCCAACTGCAACTACGACTCCGCAGCCCTGGGTCTGACACCAGCGAAGTTCGCGAGTCACCTGTTGAAGCAGCTCCAGAGCGATGGTGCCCTGTCCAGCGATCGTGTTATAGTCATCGTACGGGTGGACGATGGCGTAGCCCGTCTCGGCGGCCACAGCGGCGCACGTGTCCTTCCTGCGCGGACGGAAAGACTCATCATTGGTACACAGTCCTGCTGTACAGAGATGGTAGGTATCAGGTGACGAGTAGAACGGTGCTTCAGATGACAGGATATATCGGGGTACAGAGAAAACTCGACCGAGTGACACAACGCGATCACCAGAGATCAATTCGTTTAGCTTCACCAGTCTGTACTCAAAATAAATCAAAGCGATCACCTGTGACGCAGGTAACAATGAACAAACATTTATTACTACGTGTAAAATGCACATGACTGTACTTATGCTGACCCCGCCTTTGTTCACCTGGCCTGAGGGGTGGGCTCGCAGTAGACCAGCCGGGCGCCGTATGACCGAATGGCGTCCGCCTTCACCTCGGAGGTACCGCGCGGCACCACCACCGTGCAAGGCAGACCCGCCACGCCTGCAGAGGGGGTGGGTGGGGGCTGAGTGGCTGCGACCGCACACACCTAAAGAAGCGGGCCGGTCACAGGCGCACCGTAACACGCGACGCAGCTATAGGTATTTCAGAAAAGTGAGAATGCTTGTAGCATGTACACAGAGCGCTCCCTTCGACGTAGTGATAAGAACGAGGCCCACATTGGCGCCACCCCCTCGACAACATGTCCTGTGACTTCCGTGCGCCAGACCCAGACTGACAGTCATCGATCACTAACTCACCAGCAGCATAGGCAGTCGCCTGGCCGTGGTTGCCGCTGCTGTGGGTAGCTATGCCAGGCACTGTTGGGTTCTTCTCCTTATTCACCAGCACCTGAGGGTTAAAGAGCGCTATGAGAATGCCAATGGAAACACTGGGACAACTGATTATACTGCTGAGTCTGGGAAGCAGTATTCAATGGAACCAAGCTGAAAAATCACTGAACAGAAGGATGCTGAACATAGACTGCCATTATATATGGTAAGTGAGTTGAATTAGTAACTTCTATGGTCTATGGGAAAAAAACAGTTACGGTGCACAAACACTCCCTCTCATAGTGGGGTGTATGAAGTGGATTTTTGGTGACTGTGTAGCTACATAAAGCAATATACACATTCCCACACAATTACAGTACAAACTTACCAGAAAAAAATTGATACCTTATAAGGATAAAGGCACATTTTGACAAACATTTTGACATAATGCTCCAAAAATTGATAATAATACACAAGGCTCAGAGCCTCAGATACTAACTACATCTAATCAATATTTTTTCATGTCAACAAGGACTTACACAATTGCATGCTCCTCTAGCTTTGAAGGATCCTGTTTTCTGCAATTGTTCTCCCTTGAAGAACAATTCTTTCCCAGTCAGTTTATTAAAGAACTGGCTTGTAACAACAGGTGTCAGGTGCACATGTGACTTGATTCGCTGGTATGCTTTCTGAACATCATTCAGACAAACACCTCCCATCTTATGGCCTTCAACAACAAACACAAGCAGTGTGAAACATGTCAATGTGGTGAATCATATGTGCAAAGCCAAAGGGTGTTCACAAATCACATTCATAATGTCATTCACCTCAGGAATTCAGAGTTATGGGTAGCAACCATTGGCAGTGCTGTCAAGCCTCCAGCTGGCAACTCCACTGGCTCTTGGCCCTTGGCCCAGGAAGACTCAAACTCAAATTCAAATTCAAAGCCAAGACAGTTACAACAGGACTTCTTATTTCTTAAGGCCTGGCTACACTTAACACTATGCGTATTCTGCATGCATTTTTTGCGAGTTTGCGTGTTTTGCAGAATATCGTTCTAGGAAAAAGTTTTTACTAATATATCTTCTTTAATATTTATACAAAAGTTATTAAAACTTTTATATTAATGAAAAGTTTATATGAAAAACATAACAAAAGCGTAATGTCGTTTCTTTCTAAAACGACATTACGCAAATCACGCAAACTCGCAGAAAACGCACGCAGAAAACGCATAGTGTAGCCAGGCCTTTAGTGCACTCAGCAGTCATGACCAAAATATATACTGAACTTTAACCTTCTCTGGCAGGACAAGGTCAGTTAGGGAAACTACGAGGCGAAGATCCAAAAATTGATCGGTCAATAAATTGAAATAGGCTTTTGTTGACCCAGTCTGCAAAAAGTGGCAGAATTCGACGAGATCTCGTCAGGACAGACCAAGGCGGCATATACTGCCTTGACCAAGGCTATATAAACTGGGCAGACACATTCAGGGTATATGACACAGTGGGCAGGGCCCAGGGCTTGGCCCAGGGATAGCCTTGGCCCAGGGGCAGAAATCGGGCACAGTTCGACAATCCGGGCATTCCGGGGCAGGCCGTTTGCAGTCGGGGCGGCCCGGGCGGGGCGGGGCGCACGCAGGGTATATTGAGTGAAGGGCGCACGGTACAGAGAGAAAATAACCTATTTACATATACACTGTTGACTGTGCTATTTACAGTCACCGTGAAAATAATAAAGAAGCGGAGTACCGTTTTAAAAATTCGCGAGAAAAAGTGGGCTGCGCCACAATCGTCGCTAAAGCGCAGAAATTGTCATTTAAAACTGCTGCCATATTCGAATTTCCCTTCATCAGGGCTATGAATGTTTTGACGGTTTTGAGACCATAGAGTTTTGACGCCCCGTGTTCGTATTAGTATTCTATGACCGTGGTTTCGTATTAGCAACTAGCAACCAAGGCAAGAACCAAGGAAAGGTGCTCCGTGACCGTGCCAGGGTATATTGAATGCTCCGTGCTACCTGGAGGCCTGGAGATAGGTACTCCTTTCTAGCCTAACCAAACCGAATCAAATCAAATCAAACAAAACAAAACCTAGCCTAATCGAACACTCATAAAATTTGTTCTATCAAGTGTACTTGTAGGCATTATGTTTACCTACAGATCAAGAAAGACATTCGTCCAAAAGAAGCGCATTTCAGCTTTCTCCCATAATAAAGAGGTCGCTAAGTTGACCTGACCTTAGGTCACATATATCGAAATTCCGAGATATACATTGTATACATATTACATGCTACTGTTACTCTTATCTTTCGCTGAAACTTTCAAAGTGTTCGTTCGGTCGGTCTAGCTACAGCGAACCTTTAACCCTCGCCCGCACATGGGGGGGGTGGTTGCCACCCCCCCCCCCAGGCAGTCTTTCTGCTCTGCACTGAACATTTTTAGAGCTAGAAGGCTGATTTTTCGAATAGCTGCTCGTCTATCCTTTCTTGATGTCCACTGAAAATTTCAAGTTTCTGTGATTTTTGGTTTCGGAGATAAGACCTTGTTTTTCAGGTCATGTCGTGACCCAAATGGCCAATTCTCAACATCTTGCGTTTGCCATGGGCCTTGTGAGCTTTTGACACCCTGATTTCGGCCTTTTTTGCCAGTCTTACCTCGCACCTATCATGGAACATGTTGTTCGACGATGTACAGGGGTCAAGGTCAGGGTCAAGGTCAACCTAGGTCATCTAAGATAATTGCGTTTTAGGCAAGCTGAATTTACTTTTTGTGAAGTTTTTTGACTGCATTTTTGGTAAAAGCTTCTCAGATCATGATTTAATGTGATATGGACCCAAAAACAATCGGTGCACACATCAGTATACACACAGACACACACAGACATACAAACACATATAATTGACCTTGACCTAACTTGACCTGAAATGACCTCAGCAGCAAAATTCTGGTCAGATAGTGTGACAAAGAGGTTTTAGCTGGCTTGGCACCAGAAAACAGCATCGTCATCGGTATTTGATAAGCAGCGCACTTGATATCCAACGGTGACCCAAAACAGCAACATTTTTTAGTTTGACCTGACCTGGAAGGTCAATGACTGACCTGAGAAGGTAAAACTGGGTATCATTGGATTCGTCTCTTCCCAAAGAATCTTTTTGGTCTTTACTGCTAAGCTCTATCTCCAACAGGAACGAAATGGCGCGGGGGGGGGGGTGGCAACCACCCCCCCCCCCATGTGCGTTCTAGGATGGGAAAATGGCATGTGCGGGCGAGGGTTAAACGTTTTCTGAGGATAAGGTCACTTGACATGACCAGATGACATGACCTTAAAACGATCCGGATCGGACATTTTCATATGTGCGGAAAAGATGTATAATAGGTGTACTCCCTCTGCTCCCTCTGCTCCCTCTGCAGTCTGCTCCCCCCCCCCCCCCCCCCCAACACGGCGCAGGTGAAGGAAAATCCGAGATATGTACGGCCCTCCAGCAAAGAGTGGTTGGTTAGTCTCTGTGCTTTTGGTGTAATAACATTGAATGACAGAGACACTCCTGTAAAATGACTCAATAGAAATCGGAAGAGGGTTCGTGCACATATTTCGGCAATTGTTTTCAACAGCCATTAGACGTATTCATCAATGCAGATCGCTTATTGAGATGTTGGCAACCAACCACTAAATACCTGGAGGGCCGTACCTAAGTTATGAGACCTCTTGAGGATGCATGCTTAAAGGGACCCTCCCACCTTCAAAAAATTTAATGAATTGGCATGAAAGTGATGTCGCTCGGTTCAGAAAGAGCAAAAATGAATATCTACCAAATTTCATCGAAAAATATTCACCGGTTTTCAAGATATTAGACTTTTACTTTTGTTTACTTTTTGGGATCTCCGCTGTTCCTAGCGACTTTATTTGAAAGTGCGGCATTTGTTGCGCGCAAAGCAGCATATACACCCGCGTGCTGCCAAACGTTTTAGTAAAAGATTTAAAAATCGTTAGATCTCCGCTGACGTCACAAATTCTAAGGGGGCATACCAATGCATTAGCCCCTTAGAATCCGAAAACTGCAAGTTTGAAATTCCATATCTCCGAATTAAAGCATTTTTCGATGTTGTGAATGCCCAAACCGGTATTTTCAGGCCATGGCCACCAATTTGGCTATCTCAACTCAAAACTAATGTTAAGGTGGGAGGGTCCCTTTAACCCGCGCCCCACTGGGGGGGGGGCTATTTATAGCCCCCCTCCCGTTTTTCTGCAATAACTTCCAACCCGCTTGACGTATCGACGCCAAACTTTCAGTACCTTCGGCTGCATCAATTTGACACCTTGCGTCAAAATTTGAACTTCGTACCTACCATAGGTCGGCCGGAAATGAAGTCAGAGTGACGTCATGTTCGGCCGATTTCGACGCAAAAAATTGAACCATGGCAATCGCTCCCAAGAGCTCAGTTTTTAAGCTAGATCCAATTTCTTTGCAAGAGAGGACTCAGAATAGATTGCGCTATCAAACTGCTATCTCGGATTTTCGAAATTTTGAAAATTTCGAAAACTTTATATGATAAAATTCAAAATTTATATTTTTATTTTTATTTTGACTTTTCGAAAAAAAAACGGAATACCTATTATGTGATAGAACGCATCATTATGACTAACTCTAGCAAGTTTTAGCTAAATATCTTCAAAAATGGCTAAGTTATAGGTACGCATTATTGCAAAAAATTAACATTTAAAAATTTTTCAAATCAATTTTACAGCACGAATTTGACATCGTATGCCGATATAAATAGCACCATCGTGTTCCTGAGCTCAAACTGCATCCAATAAACACCTTTTTTGTTGAAAAATTTTAACTTCAAAATTTGACCTTTTTTGACCTGAAAGTGACCTGACCTAGGCTAAATTTGACTCAAAATGACCTCGAATGACACAGACGACATCAAATTCGAAATTTTTGGCCTAAATGGATCATAAAACATGTGTAACGTGACCGACGGATGATATAATATTTTCGTGACCTGTGATAACCTGACCTTGACCTGAAAATCAAAGTACAAGTTTGGTACCCTCAGAGTATCTAGAGCATCTGTTCACGAGTGTGTGAACCAAAAATGAGCCTGATCTGACTTGTAAGACGGCGGCCAGAGCCCAAAACGTGAAGAAGCTAAAATGCTAATAATTTTTACTTTGACCTGACCTGTGGCGTCATCGGTGACCTCGAGGTCAATGAAATTAGGTTTCGCTCGACAGTTTTTCCGGGGCTATCAGACGCCGTTTGAATTTTGACGATCGGCCCAGTAGTTTCGGAGTTAGGAGGGGGGGGGGCTATGAATAGCCCCCCCCCCCCCCAGTAGGGCGTGTTATACGCAGACCCCAGTGAGTGGGGCGCGGGTTAATACTAGGGCCTGTAACTTTCATCTCCTTGTGGAAGTTCCTTTGGCACTGAAAGCGTTGCGAAGTTGCAACTTGCGAAATTTTAGGACCGTGCAGACTGCAGAGGTTCACTTATGACGTCATAGGTCAGTGACCTGATCTGACCTGAAAACACAGTTGGTGTCTCAAGATCTGGCTTGAATCAAAGGTCAGGTACGCCAAGTTTCACCTCCCTTTCTTTGGCTGTTCCTAGCTATCGCGGAAAAAAAACTATGAGGGGCGGCCCCCGCCCCCCTCGGCCGGCGAGGGATAATCGATTGCCTTTCGACAGGATCTTTGCGGAGCGGCACTGCTGTGAAGCATGGAC